GCTGTAGCCCGATCGTGCCACCCTGCTTTACCTCTTCTTCTGCTGACAGGCATCGGTAAGTTGCCTGACACATAAGCAGTGATATGTTAGCAGGTACCACATCAGCAGTGACATGTGAGCAGGTGCCACATCAGCGCGTGACAAATCAACAATGACAGCAGCAGCAGTGTGATGACCCGACCAAACACGGACTGAGACACACAGCTGATTTCTGAGTTTTGCTTATGGACTGAATGCATTGCTGAGTTTCCCGCTTGCTACTAAGTTCTTGAAGTCTGTGTGTGTGCACGCTTGCTGGTCTGCATGTCTGTGTATGTGCACGCATGCTGGTCTGCATGTCTGTCTGAGTGCTTGTTGGATTGAGTGTGTGTGTGACCCGCAAGGGCACTTGTTCGTTCGTTGGGCCCTCAGGGCCGGTACTTACCTGTGGCCGGGACATTGAGGATTGCTGCGGGGAAAACACTCAAGTGGCAGGGGAAGAGGCCCGCAACACTTGAAGCAGCGGGGAAACCCTCAAGTAGCAGGTATGCCTGTACCACACCCTGAAGAGGTAGATGTGCCGGGTACTGGAGGCCAAGCAGAAAAAGACAAAAATGGCATTTTTAGAGGCCCAGTAGTTGTAGGCTAGGTCTAGGCGGGTACCAGTCCAACCAGTCTGAGGCTAGGGCCTGTACGGGCAATATCAGAGTCTGCAATGATGTTTGCCTCCGGAAGGGAGGAGGTACCGGTTGCTTGGAAGGCCGAGTGGCCTGGAAGTCACCGCCCAAGAGGCAAGCAGGCCGCTATATCTCCAGGCCGGGCGAAGAGCCCAGCCTCATTATCGGTGTGCAAGTTTGGCGACACAGTGGTTGGGGTGCTGGCTGGAGCAGCGCTGCTGGGGAAGGAGCAAGGACGCGGAGGAGGAAGAAGAGCAGGAGGAAGGGGGAGCGCCAGAGGTACTTACCTGGCTATGGTGGCAGCCATCTTCATCACCTTGGTGGGCGCTGCAGCAGGAAGACCCCAGCTGGGGTAGAGCTGCACCAAGAAGCTTCGAGGCAGAGTCAGGCATGTCGGCCTGAGCTGGAGCAGCCATAGCTGCTATGGGTTGTCCTTTGGGCATCAGGGCAAGGCCCTGTAGTCCGCCATAGCCTCGGCCTATGAGAGTGAAGAGTGAGGGAGGCGGCCATGGCTATGGTGGACCTCAAGTGATACCTGCAGTAGAAGAGGGATTCGGACATTGATTCTGGTTCAGCCATTCAACATTGTACTATTATTTCTTGTGTGAATAAGAGAGGAGTAAAGGAGGAGGAGAGTATTTGGCGAAGAAGAAGAGCTGTATCATTTGTCTATGCTGGTGTACATCATCTTCTTCTTCTTTCTTTCTTTCTTCTTCTTCTTCTTCTTACCCTCTCTCTCCTCTCAAGTTCATTCATTTCTTTCTGCAATTGGACGGCATCATCCTATCTGATGAATGTGTATCTCGAAATTGGCCAGGATCATAACAGCAGTGCCACATCAGCAGTGCCACACCAGCAGTGACACCATCAGCTGCACTGCCTCGTCAGCATAGCACAGTCGGGCAGCTCATTAGGCCTTACGGGCCAACTTGCGGGAGAGATGATAGAGGCCTTTTTGGCCCGCATGTGGCACCTTGTGGCAGACATAGACTCTAAGAAGGAAAAACAGTCGTTAGATATGCCAGACGTAGCGCGCGTGCAGCAGGAGGCTGCCGTAGAAGCCCAACACAAAGCAGACGAACACACATTTTGGAAGGAGGTCAAAGAACAACTGTTCCTGCAGGAGGCCCAGGTTCTCAGGCAGTCACGCACCTAGCACTTTGCACCCGGAAATGCTGAAGACGAGAAAACGCCGAATGATGAACATTGGGAATACCTATGAAAAAAAGACAAAGAAAAAGAAAAACTTCAGAAAACTTGAAAAGTTCAAAAAACATTAAAAAAAAGGGAATACCTTGCCAAGCTACTGGTGCCCCAGAGGTCAAGTCCAACAGGCACCTGGTCAACAGTCACATCCAAGTTGCAAAAATCACATCTCCCAGTTGAAGAGGCATATCCCACAGGCAAAGGTCACGTCCCGACAGACCAAAAATGCAGCAGCACACCCAGGGAGGTACCGGCCCTCGTCATTCTGAAGCAAACAGGCCACGGGCAGCCAGTACCGGGACCACGTCAAGCCAAGAGATGCAGAGGCTGGGAGGAGTCAAGGTTCAGTCCAAGGCAATAAAAGGACTGGCCAGCCTCATTTCCGACAGATTGCTCATTCGCGAGAAGGCGGAAGAGCTGTTGGTGCCCGTGCTCTATTGCAAGTGGCAGACAGGCGGCCATAGCCACATAATAGCAGTAGAAGTAGAGCTGAAGTAGGAGGGAGATGTATTCAGGGTTATGATCCGCATAACAGCAGAAGCAGAGAGAGATAGAGGACCGAGAGGGCATGGACCTGGTTCGTGAAGGCTGAGTACGGACGCTGCCCGGCCGGGCGGGGCCGGGTGGGCCGCCCGGGCAAACCAGGCGGGCAAAACAACAGCCCAGAATTTTTTTAATTTTTTTTTGAAGGCGGGGTCCTCCTGTGCTCGGCGACAGGACCCTGAATCTGCAATAAAATTCTAGTTTTGGGGGGGGACGGGTTGTCTGGGTGTGAGAGGGGGAGGGGGGGGGGGGGGGGGGGGGGGGGGGGGGGGGGGGGGGGGGGGGGGGGGGGGGGGGGGGGGGGGGGGGGGGGGGGGGGGGGGGGGGGGGGGGGGGGGGGTTCTGGGTGTTGGGGACTCTGCATGTATGTTGCCTGCTGTTTGCTGCATGTTTTCTTTTTTCTTACCTGTCATTTATTTCGCGACCTATCGCTAACGAATGTTAAAAAAAAGAAGAAAAAGAAGATAGTCGGAAGAGGAGGAGGAGGAGAAGAGAAGAATAAGAAGAAGAAGATGAGGGGGAGGACGACGACGAGAGATGAAGACGAAGAAGAAGAAGAAGATGAGAGGGGGAGGACAGGTCGGCAGTTCCAGTACCTAACGTGAATCTGACAGTCAAAGGACTGAGAGGAACAGGTGAAGAGGGGTTTCCTTTCCAAGTTTTTCAACCAGGCACTAGCCACCAATTAAAAGTAAATAGGCTAACTCAGGCAGGGGTGGGGGCTGGTACATCCTTCTGGCGAGAAGTAATCAATGCCGGCCCTCGGACTTTCCTACCATAAAGGGGAAGAGCGTGTGTGTTTCTTTCTTGTATTCCAATCGACTTGCCGGTGGAGTAGGAACCGGACTGGTGCCCCCCAGAATGGAAAAGGGGCCAGAACCATAAGGTTCTGTTTTCGGGGGGGGGGGAAATAAAAATAATTAAAAAAAAAGAAAAAAGAAAAGAAGATGAGAGGGGGAGGAGGAGGAGGAGTGAAGAAGTGGTGGAAGAAGAAAAGCAGAAGAGGTATAAGAGGAAGAAGAAGAAGAAGAAGAAGATGAGAGGGGGAGGAGGAGGAGAGAAGAAGAAGCAGAAGAATGAGCGGAGGAGGAGGAGGATGGAAGAAGAAGAAGAAGAAGAAGAATAGACCGGCACTCCACGTTGACGGGCGGCAGGGGTTGTCGGCAGGCAGCAGCACCCCATGCTGGCCGGCACCTCTTCGTCCTGGTCTGCGCGGTACTCCTCCATTGTCGTATCAGAGCCAGCCTTCCGGCTTCGTCAAAGACAAGACTTCTAAGAATGGAGAAGATAGTAAAAATAAAAATAAATCAACAAAAATAAAAATAGTAGAAGTCAGGAGGACGAGGACCTGCCGACATTCTCTCGGTTTTGTCAATCAGACCCAGGTCCGGGCCCGTCCGGCAAAACAAAGGGGGATAGGCCCTTGGACCCTTGACCCCTCAATCTCCGTCGATCGCGCTCCTTTGCTTTATTGCCGCTAGCTGACCTCGAACCGCAAACCTGTCGCTTGAAAGTCTCGTACCATAACCAATAGAACCAGGCGCAAGTCTGGGCTCGATAGGCACGTACATGCATATGATTAGTTCGCGGGACCGTGATTGGTCCTACCCATACAAACCAGGCCTTCGCCTTTGGTCTGCCAGCCAATTTCTTGGCCTTCTGAAGACGCCGCCTGCGCCAAGGATCGTAGCTATCTGGTATCCTGGTCATCCGACACACCATTTGCACCGCCGAAGGCCACGGACTTCCCTCATACTAAGCCTAACAAGGCTGCGCCTTTTAACGCGTCGTCTAGCACGATTTTCCTGCGCGCGTGCAACGTAAGATATTTTATCTCCCTAGCGATGATCCCTGCCAGAGGCCGAGCTGGTTTGCGAGGTAAATCTCGTCTCTATAAAATAAAAGAAAAATATAACCAAATTAAAAGGTACAGAAAATGTACCCGGACCCTATGGCTTTTATGTCTTCCGTCGCCCTGATACTGTTGAGGACTAACGGTCACTTCACAATGCAACGCAATAACACACGACTCACACACTCTCTTATTCGATCGAACTGACCCGGAGTCTCGCCAAGAGCGAGGTTGCCGAGGTGAGTGCTCTGGCGGGATTTGCCTCATTAGCGGGTCACGTTGTTCAAAGACGCACCCAGTGCGACCTTTAAAAAGGACGGCAAATACCCTTGTCAGGGTGTTTGCTACGACAGCGCTCAG